AGCAGGGCAGAGGCCATGGAGGACTTTGGATTCTGCTCAGAAATGTACTGGAAACCAGTGGAGATCCTTGAGGTGTTCTATGGACCTGGCAATTCTGCACAAGCTTCCCTTCCAAAGCACAAACTTCCCCGGTAAAACTGCCTAAATATGGAGCGCGCACCTGCCATCCATCGGGACGCGAGGTCCCGCCTGAGCTGCCTGCAGGTCTTCCTGAGGAGCGAGCAGCGCTTGCCGGCTGTTTCTGTTTTGGCCATTGAGGGCGCTGCAGAGCCACGAATTTGACAGCTTCGGGTTTATTAAAATAATAATAAATTTATTACTTATACCCTGCCCATCTGGGTCTAAACGGCGAGTGGGGGCGCTTTTGACCGGCTAAAGGGGAACTCAGGGTGCAGGCCTTGATGTGAACAACTCCGGGGTCTGGGGAGGCTTTGGTGAGAAATGTTGTGCTTTTAAGCAGGATTGCCATGTTCCCCAAAATGAAAATCAGGACAGAGTTTTGAGGGTTTTGCTTTTTCTTAGCCCTAGCTTTAAGGCAACATTTCTAGGCACTTCTGTACATGCACCGTGATGCTCTAGGTCTCAGGAAAGTGGGGCAGCACCGTCTCCTCCAGGAGCAACAACTAAGGGGCTCTTGTCCTGCTTTTTGCAGAGCCTTTCCCCCTGCGAGCTCCTCCTCCACCTGTTTTTTTCTGGCCGGGGAGGAAGCTCTGCCCCCATCCAAGAGAGCATCTCTCGCGGGGCTCATTGCGCACAACTCACTCACGCGGCTCCTCCTCGGCTCCCGCTTTTGGGAGGCGGAGGGGGGAGCCTGCTGCGCTCGGCTTTTGTTGTTGTTGAGTCCTTTAGTCGTGTCCGCCTCTTCGTGACCCCCTGGACCAGAGCATGCCAGGCCCTCCTGTCTTCCACTGCCTCCCTCACGTTGGTCTCTTCGAGAACACTGTCCCACCATCTCGTCCTCCATTGTCTCCTTCTCCTTGTGCCCTCCATCTTCCCCAACATCAGGGTCTTTTCCAGGGAGTCTTCTCTTCTCATGAGGTGGCCAAAGTCTTGGAGCCTCAGCTTCAGGATCTGTCCTTCCAGTGAGCACTCAGGGCTGATTTCCTTCAGAATGGATGCGTTTGATCTTCTTGCAGTCCATGGGACTCTCCAGAGTCTCCTCCAGCACCATAACTCGAAAGCATCCATTCTTCGGCGATCAGCCTTCTTGATGGTCCAGCTCTCACTTCCATACATCACTACTGGGAAAACCAGAGCTTGAACTATACAGACCTTTGTTGGCAAGGTGATGTCTCTGCTTTTTAAGATGCTGTCTAGCATCTTAAAAAGCGCTCGATTTAGCAAGGGTTAAAAGGCAACAGCTGGATTCCTAGAGAAGACAGGAAGCAAAGCCAGGGGGCTGGTCCTCCGGACCCCTCCCTCTTTCTCAAGCCCCTGAAGGGGGGTTGCTGTTTTGTCTCTGCGCTGCAGGTGCTGCGCCAGTGGCTTCTGCTGGGATCCAGTGAGTCTCCCCTCTCTTGACCCAGAGGGCCCTTGGGGAGAAGGGGGTCCCGGGGCTGCAGGGAGGGGGCTTGCGGGGAGTTCAGCTCATGCGGGGGACCCCAATTTGGGGAGCGGAGGGTCCTGCCAGGGAAGGGCAAGCTCGCAGGAGGGCTCCAACTCTGTGTTGCCTTTGCATTGATGCGCTGCTGCTGGACCATTTTTTGGGGGGGTGTCTTTGGGTCAGAGAAAAATGGCCATGCTTACCCACCCCACACATCAGAAGCGCTGGCCTCCTGAATTTGCATGCTGTGCTTTAAGGACTTGACCCGTGCCAGATTATCTATAAGCTAAACAAGCTCTATCTTAGGGCCCCACTCTCTTAGGGCCCCCAAAAAAATTTAAAGGAAAAAACCTGGATGTACATTTCCAAAATATAAGATGAAAAACTAATAAAATAAAACCTACACCCAGCAACGGTGTTTTGTCTTGTATAGGCTCCTATGGTGTAAGTCATGGTCTGCGCCTGCTAGCCTGCTCCCTAAAATATCCCTAATTTGCTCCTTTCTAGATAAAGGGTGCCTACATTCTGCATGGAGTGGTTGCACTGCAACATGTGCAAATGACTTGAGATACCTATTAAGTCCATAAATTACGGTACCATATAGCGTATATTCCACACACAAAACAGCGACAATTTGTTGTTGACAAAGGACAGCTGGACATATAAAGGGTCCCATTACCTTCAGGAGCCGAGGGCCTCATCAAACCTCAATCCAGCCCTGGACTTGACCACAGCCGTAGCTCCAGACCAAAGGAATCCACTCCGCACACAGACACCACTGGTTTCTGTACATTTCCCTCAATTAGACAACTTATACTGGGCTCCCAGCACCACAATAAGGCAAGGAAACCCCACTTTCTGAAAGATAGAAATTCACCCCCCAAATTTAGCTGAATAGATGGTTTTATATAGTTCCAAAAGGTAGTAAAATTGTGGTCCTAAGGATGGAGGGGACCTGACTCCTGGCATGAAGGGAGCAGGAAAGCCATAATCCTCAAGATGGGCCATCACACCCCAGGATGCCCCTCCCAGCCAGGTGTTGCCAGCCCTGACAAAGGGACCAACTAGGTGTTATCAGATACTCAAGCGGAAAGTCCACCCCAGAGGGGAATGAGGCAAAGAGCAAGAAGAGCAACTAAGCTGTGCCAACATGTAAATACTTTATTCTGCCAGGGTGAGACAGATGTTGTAACGAACAGGGCTATGTGAAATACCTGTGATGTTTTGATGATGCTGTGTGAAATGTATTATGGGAAATTTTGGGAACTTTAAAGAACCCCTGCAGCCCTTGTTCTGGGCTTCTTCCTTTTAATGTTTAACAGACCACTGTATTTTAATATTTTGTTGGAAGTCGCCCAGATTGGCTGGGAAAACCCAGCCAGATGGGCGGGGTATAAATAATAAATTATTGTTGTTGTTGTTGTTGTTGTTGTTGTTGTTGTTTTGCTTGAGAATTGGAACCTTGTTGCAACAGTCAATGATCAGGCTTCCTAGCCGCCGTTTTGCTCCAATTTGCCTGGCTTTGGCCTCTTGCTTGAACCCGACAGATTCTGAACCACAGCGCTAGACGCTAGCAAAGTTGGGAAACGGTTTAAGTACCGTACTCCAAGATTTGGTACTTATCAAACCCAATTCAGATTTATGGATCAGCCACATATATTAACAGCGGTCCCAAGGGGTCCATGGCACATTCCTGTCAACCGTCCAGGACAGAATATTCACAGACAAAACAGTCTGTAGACTTTCATTCAAGGAGCCCTTCGGGGGGTGTTGGAATTCCAGAATCTGAAGGTGGGGCTGTTGAGCTCCATCAATATCTGGAGCTTGGTCACATAGAAAAATGCACTCAACTTCAGAACAGATATAATGATCCAACAGGGAGCCATACTGAGAGGCCACAAATGTCATGATTCTCATGCAGAGAATGACTTGCGCAGGAATGCGACCCAGAAGACTGCATCCTGGTTTTCCGCTGGGTCACATTGGATATGGTGGCGCCATTCACATAACAAAAACTCCCACAAAGATATTGACATTTTCAGAGTAGGGGGCCCATGGCTTGGCTTTTGAAAAACAGGGGTGCCCAGTATGTAGCTAATTGGGATCCACTGTGATAGGCAGTTGGAACTATAGTCATCTCGGGTTACAGCTGCTTCAGGTTGCATCTTTTCGGGTTGCAGACCGCTGAAACCCAGAAGTAGCAGAACGGGTTACTTCTGGGTTTGGGCAGTTGTGCATGCGCAGAAGCGCTAAATCGCACTTTGAGCATGTGCAGAAGTGCCAAATCGTTGTGAACGCTGCGGGTTGCGAACATGCATCCCGCACAGATCACATTTGCAACCCGCGCATCCACTGTACTCTCTTGTGTGCAGCTGGTGACATTGTAACAAGGAGCATCCCATTGACGAAAAGTAGCAGCATCTGCTGGCTGCCTCCCTTTCTGGCTGTGGCACAACAATTTAATTTTTATTATTATTATTATTATTATTATTATTATTATTATTATTATTATTAATATTAATATTATTATTATTTTATTTATTTATTTATTTATTTAATTTCTATCCCGCCCTATTCCCCATGGTCTCAGGGTGGTTCACATAAAATATCAAATCCATTAAAAAACCAAGGCTTGACGGCTGGGGGATTTCTACATTTAAATGGCCGCAGAGCGAGAGGTTGCTTCTGGCAAGTGATAAGGGAAATCGGGGCAGAAGCCTTTATTGAATGGGTAGCCATGGGGCTGGCAGGCAGATCGCCCAGGGAGGTGGGGGGAGCATGGGGGGCTCAGAGGTGACATTCAGATACATTTGTTTACGTGCAGCATGGAAGCGTATAGTGGGCAGTCGAGGAGGGGTCACAAAAACACAAAGCAGGAGGGGGATCCACGCAATGACCAGTTTTCCTGCAACTGGCGCCGTCCAACACACACCTCCACACTTCCTTAGGGAACTGGTTTCCTCTCCTGACAGTGTGTCAGTTTTATAGCAGAACAATGTGTTTGCTTTGTAGGATTTCCTAGCACCTCTTAAACTGGACAGAGAGAATTTGGCAGAAGATCAATGGGTTCCTTCTGATCTCTTGGAGGCTTCCTAAGAACACAGATGGATGTGCAAGACTCAGCAGGAAGAAGCCATGCCATCAGAGCTGGGAGCAGTGGGGGATTCTGGGAAAAAACTGTGCAGAAGATCCTTGGTGAGGAGGACACTCTCCGCTCAGAGGCTCAGAGACAGCAGTTCAGACAGTTCTGCTTCCAGGAGACCAAAGGACCCCGAGAGGTTTGCAGCCGACTCCACCACCTTTACCATCAATGGCTGAAGCCAGAAAGGCACACGAAAGCTGAGATGCTGGACCTGGTGATCTTGGAGCAGTTCCTGGCTGTCCTTCCACCAGAGATGGAGAGCTGGGTGAGGGAATGTGGAGCAGAGACCAGTTCCCAGGCAGTGGCCCTGGCCGAAGGTTTCCTCCTGAGTCAGGCAGTGGAGAAAAAGAAGGTGAAAGGGACTTTTGTATCCCCAAATCCTCTACAAATTGCCCATCTTGAAAGTTTTTATCTCTAACATTCCTTCTCCAATGTTTCCCTTTTTCTCTTTTAGGGAAAGGATCTCTTTGCAGAAATGGGCCTGGATTCGTCTGAGGCACAGAAGACTCTGTTGGACACCAGAAATTGGCTGCTGCGTAAGGAGGTTCTTCTCTGTTTGGTCACATTCTGTGGGTTATGAAACTAATCCATGGGTTCTTTCCATCTTTTGCGTTACCCCAAGGAGGGAAGATCCATTGGTCCTTTAATCTTTGGGGGAAGACACTTGGGGCCAAGGAGAAGAGATGTGTATTTATGCAACTAAAATATGAAATGGGTACAAAGGTCATAATAATTCATTCAGCAGGTGAGACTTTTTCTAAGGCCCATCTGTAATTGGATATGCAGTGCTCATCCTCAGAGAAAAGCATCTACTCCTGGCTTCCCACTTACCTTTGTCTCTCACAGGTGACCAGATGATGCCAGCAAGACCTCCTCATCCCTCTATTCATGGTGAAGGAGAAGCAATGACTGCGGAACCAGATCAGGTAGGGGGAAAGAGCGTTGTGGGGAAGAGGGCTGAGGAGTGGGGCTGTCAGCTTCGCCTTTGAGCCGGTGCCAACGACTGGGCTCAACCTCTTCAGCCCCAACTGGGCCAGGTGAGCTGGGAAAGCACTTCCAGAGACCTTCCACTGCAGGGAAGCAGGTCTAAGCGCAATGGACTCACAACTTTGAGCTGTGAGCACCAAACTCAGTGCCAAAGTCAGCAGAGCACAGCAGAGTATGAACTACACGAACGACGGCTCTGAAGCAGAACTTCTTTATTCTTTTACAGCTACTGCAAACTAAAAATAAACTAGAAACGAAAGACTTAACAGAGACTTCTGGGCTGCATGAGTGTTATAGTTGCTTAAGCAGTCATCTTTACACAGATAACACTCAGACTCCCACAGAGTCAGGCTGGAGCGGATGAAGGGAAGAGCAGATTCCGCCCCCTCCTTTCTGAAAACATTGGCAGTCGATTCTTGCAATGGGAGGGGTGAAATATCCACAGGGGCAGCCAGGGTCCCTCCAGACCCAAACAAATCTCTTTCCTCCTCTTAACAAATCTGCCATGAACAATGGCAGAGAGTAAAGAACAGCCTCTTTGCTTCAATGTCACTGAAATGATTTCATTCCCTCCTTGAAGCTGGCTTTAGGGCATCAGAAAGGTTTTCCCCAGAAGAGCCCTTTGGGAGAGGAAAGCGGGAATCCTTTCATCTGGCGAACGGGAATGCTTGCTCAGCCAGAAGGATAAAAAGCTCAAAATGTGGAGTTCCACCCATTTACACTTTAATATTCATCATTAAAACACACAATAAACGAATTCCATTAAGACATTGAAAGAAGAATCCATAATTAAAATGAACAGCAAAACAATCCCATGAAAACAACACAATAATGTGCAGGAGATAATATTATGCTGTCTAAGAGAAGCATCTTTTTCTTTTTCTTTTTCTTTCAGGGTCCTCTGTGCTTTGAAGATATCACAGTTCATTTCACAGAGGAGGAATGGGCGTTGCTGGATCCTGACCAGAGAGCTCTACACCAAGAAGTCATGGAGGAGAATCGTGACATCATGGCCTCTCTTGGTACTGCTCCTGGTTGGATCATTATATCCATTTTGAAATTCAGCCCATCTCTCTATGTGACCAAGCTCCAGATATTGATGGAGCTCAACAGCAGCACCTACAGATTCTGGAATTCCAACACCTCCAGAGGTCACCTTGAATGGAGGGCTAGAGACTATTATCTGCATATATCCTTCCTCCAATTATGTGTTTTTAAACAATGATCTGGCTTGTCTGAACTTTCCAGGCCTTTTGAAATGATGGATTTAGTTTGGGGATGGAAGTTGTAGTAGCTTCTGTCAGGTTTTTGGGTTTTTTTATGGAGCAGATTCCATGATTCAGCAAAAGAAATCCCTTCCAGGAGAGAGCCAGGCTTTTCGAATCTCCAGTTCCCATCAATATGTTAGTTTATGTCAGTCAAAAAAGGCAGTGAACCCTGTAGTAAGACCTCATATCTAACTTCCATCAGTTCTTCCATTAATTAGTATGGTTCAATAATGGAGGTCTCCATGTGTTCCTGAAGCTCTTATTTATTTATTTCTTTGTCACAGGCAGTGATAAATTGGAAATTAAGAACAGAAGAGACCATGACAAGATCTATACATTGGAGATGCCATATCAATATTTGGAGTGTGGAAAGAGCTTCCGTAAGAGCGGCCCTCTCACTTCCCAACCAACAATTCACAGCAGGGAGAAACTATATCAGTGTCTGGAGTGTGGAAAGACCTTCCGTCGGAACTCGCATCTCACAACCCATCAGAGCATTCACACAGGGAAGAAACCTCATCAGTGCATGGAATGTGGGAAAAGCTTCAGTCAAAGGTCCCATTACACATGCCATCAAAGAATTCATACAGGAGAGAAACCCTATCAGTGCCTGGAATGTGGAAAGAGCTTTGGTCGGAAGTACAGTCTCACGTCCCATGAAAGAATTCATACAGGGGAGAAACCACATCAGTGTCTGGAATGTGGAAAGAGTTTAACCAGGAAGAAATATCTCACAGCCCATCAAAGAATTCATACAGGGGAGAAATCCTATCAGTGCATGGAATGTGGAAAGAGCTTCAGCAAGAGAGCCCATTTCACGTCCCATCAGAGAATTCATACAGGGGAGAAGCCCTACCAGTGCTTGCAATGCGGAAAAAGCTTCATTCGGAAGGGCTTTCTCACTTCCCATCAAAGAATTCATACCGAGAAGAAACTACACCAGTGCCTGGAATGTGGGAAGATTTTCACCGTGAAGAAAAGTCTCGCTTCCCATCAGAGAATTCATACAGGAGAGAAGCCCTACCAGTGCTTGGAATGTGGGATGAGCTTCGCGTGGAAGGACAGATTCACTGCCCATCAAAGCATTCATACAGGGGAGAAACCGTATCTGTGTGCAGAATGCGGAAAGAGCTTCTGTCACAGGGCCCATTTCACTTCCCATCAGAGAATCCACACTGGGGAGAAACCCTATCAGTGCTTGGAATGCGGAAAGAGCTTCAGTCGGAAAGACAGTCTCACTTCCCACCAAAGAATTCATACAGGAGAGAAACCACATCAGTGCTTCGTATGTGGAAAGAGCTTCAGTCAGAGGTCCAATCTCACTTCCCACCAAAGAACTCACAGTGGGGAGAAACCGTATCAGTGTCTGGAATGTGGGAAGAGCTTCCGGAAGAGGGCCAATCTAATTTCCCATCAAAAAAAACTCACAGCAGCCAAAATTGGAAGGGACCCTCATAATCATGTAGTACAACCTCTGCTTAAAAGCCTCCCAGGAAGTAAAGGCAACCATCCGCCAAAGGAATCTGTTCCACTGTGGAAGAGCTCTTGCCAACTGAAGAGTCAGTTACAATAGTAAAGAAACAGCAATTTTAATGCGCTATATACATGTGGTGCCAGAGAGCAGGAAACTTTAAAATGCGATTTTCCATAGAGATTTCTTTCTTTTGTTATAACTATCTTCATAGTGTTTTCCCCCCTGTGTTTAGATCCACCCTCACAGTTCTTCCTGATGTTTTGTTGGAATCTCCTTTCATGTAACTTGACGCCATGGGTTCGGGTCCTAGTTTCTGGAGCAGGGGGAAACAAGCTTGCTCCATCTTCCACATGACATCCCTTTAGATATTTGAAGATGGCCATAATATCACTTCTCAGTCTCCTCTTTTCCAGGCTAAACATGCCCAACACTCTCCCCAGTTCCTCAAATGGCTAGCTTCCCAGACCCTTAATCATCTTGGTTGCCCTTCTTGGCACATGTTCCAGCTTATAAACATACTTCTTAAATTGCGGGACACATTACTCCAGGTGTGGTCTGACCAAGGCAGAACAGAGCAGCACCATGACTTCCCTTAATGGGGACATTAAACTTCTGCTGTTGCAACTTAGAATTGCATTACCTCTCTAACGGGACCCTCGGAAAGTGTGTGTGCACCTGTTACATTTGGGTGTGATGTTCTGGTCTTTTTATCTAAAGTTCTGTTCACATGTATCAAAGTAATTTACGTAATAATGGTAAGTTCAGCCTAACAGGAGATTTAAGGTAATGTTAGCCAGGGAGGAGGAGTTTGGAATGTTTCTGATTGGCTGAGAGTTTGAAAGGGGGGTTTAATAACTAGTCATAAAAAATAAATAAAATATTGAAAAACACAACAAAACTAAACAATTTCCACACAAATCACAAGAAGATCTAATGTAAAGATACAGAAAATCAGCAGGACCTCCCCCCAACCCACTAAGCCCAGCAGAGCTGCCAGTAAGAATGGGCAGTCGGGCTTCTCCCAGCAAACAGCCAGAGGCCCAGAGTTTGGAGCCCTGGACATCCTGGTTGTGTCTGAGACTCTTTGTTTTGTGGGGAGGGCTTTAAATGAGTCCGGTTTTGGCTATGCACACACACAAATACACATACATGCAACCCAATTCAAAATCAGGGACAGGTGAGCTGGAGATGCATTTTTTAAAATTCTTATCATCCTTTAGTGCCACAAGCACCATGACCCTCCCTCCTGCCTCGCAGGGCATCCACAAGAAGCAGCCCTCCGACGCCCAGAGCACCCTGCTGCGGCGCCACCTCCTGGAGCTCACGCAGAGTTTCATTATCCCCCAGGTGAGTAGCAGCAGCGGGAGGGGGGCAGGTGCCCCCTGCCTCCAGCCTCGGCCTGTCCAGGGAAATGAGGAGGCCTGGAGGATGAGGAGCACAGGGGGAAGGCGGCCTTTGACTGACATGGGCCATGGAGACGCCTCCCCCTCCCCATTGCCCCCCCCACTGGCAGCCAGGGCTCTCTCTCCCCACCCTAAGCCGACTGAGAGGAAGGAAAGGGATGCTCTTGGAGCCAGGAAGGGAAACCGGCTTAGTTTACTCAGAGTAGACCCACTGAAAATGGGGGAGATGGATGCATAAAGTGCCCAGTTATTTTATTACACTAACAAAATTATATCTGATATATCTGATATGTATATCTGAGATATATATATATATATATATATGCTTTCGTAGATTTTCACGGGTACAGGAATGCAGGTTTTGGTGTCCTCGGGTGTCTTCCCGTGTAAAAGTTGGGGTGTCTAGGCGACGTTTCGACGAGGTCTCACTCGTCATCTTCAGGCTGGTGCTTTCGGCTTCTTGTTACTGGAACAGAGCGGGATCTCAGTGTTTGAGTTCCTATAAATACTGTTGAGGAGGTGTGGTGTATAGCCTCCAATGTTCTGGGCGGAGAGGAAGTTCCCAGGCTAGTGTGCCTTTTCTTCTTTTGTTCCTTAATTACTTGAGGGATATCTTGAGTGATTTCTTGAGTGATATCCTGAGTACCACTTAGGTGGGTCATTAGGTGTGGATTAGTTGCTAAAGCCTTCGTGTCTTGACCTCTTGAACTTTGTGAAGAGTTTTTCTGAGAAGATGGCTGTACTGCACTTAGTTGTGCTCTGTCTTGGCTTCGTGTATAGGGGCGAGCTGTGGTTTTGTGGCCTGTGCCAGCCAGATCTGTGTAGGGATTGCAGGGGGGTGCAGCATCCGGAGGTGCCACCATGGTTTGGCTACTGGATGGTGTCTGTAATTTATCTGTGGAGAGGATCTGGGTTTGGGTCTGGTGTGGTTGATTGGTGATGGCGTTCTGTGTGCCTCTGGATCTGGTGTCGGTTTTTGTGGGGAGGGCTAATTTCCAGATGTCTGGCAGGCGGGACGTGTCGTCACGCTTGTTCATGTTGTGAGGGTGTTTCTCTATCTCGATGGCTTCCATGATTATTCTCTTGTGGTGATGTTCCATGTTAAAGAGCAATTTGGAATCTGCAAAATTAATTTCGTGTCCTGTTTCTTTCATGTGTTCCAACACATGAAAGAAACAGGACACGAAATTAATTTTGCAGATTCCAAATTGCTCTTTAACATGGAACATCACCACAAGAGAATAATCATGGAAGCCATCGAGATAGAGAAACACCCTCACAACATGAACAAGCGTGACGACACGTCCCGCCTGCCAGACATCTGGAAATTAGCCCTCCCCACAAAAACCGACACCAGATCCAGAGGCACACAGAACGCCATCACCAATCAACCACACCAGACCCAAACCCAGATCCTCTCCACAGATAAATTACAGACACCATCCAGTAGCCAAACCATGGTGGCACCTCCGGATGCTGCACCCCCCTGCAATCCCTACACAGATCTGGCTGGCACAGGCCACAAAACCACAGCTCGCCCCTATACACGAAGCCAAGCCAGAGCACAACTAAGTGCAGTACAGCCATCTTCTCAGAAAAACTCTTCACAAAGTTCAAGAGGTCAAGACACGAAGGCTTTAGCAACTAATCCACACCTAATGACCCACCTAAGTGGTACTCAGGATATCACTCAAGAAATCACTCAAGATATCCCTCAAGTAATTAAGGAACAAAAGAAGAAAAGGCACACTAGCCTGGGAACTTCCTCTCCGCCCAGAACATTGGAGGCTATACACCACACCTCCTCAACAGTATTTATAGGAACTCAAACACTGAGATCCCGCTCTGTTCCAGTAACAAGAAGCCGAAAGCACCAGCCTGAAGATGACGAGTGAGACCTCGTCGAAACGTCGCCTAGACACCCCAACTTTTACACGGGAAGACACCCGAGGACACCAAAACCTGCATTCCTGTACCCGTGAAAATCTACGAAAGCATATATATATATATATATATATATATATATATATATATATATCAGAAATTAGGGAAGCTTTTAATGTTTGGTGGATTACTGTGTTTTAATATTTTGTTGGAGGCCACCCAGAGTGGCTGGGGAAGCCCAGCCAGATGGGGTATAAATAATAATTTATTATTATTATTATTACAAACACCCGGGTAATAATAATAATTTATTATGTCCCACCCCTCTGACTGGGCGGCTTCCAGCATAATAAAAGCACAGCAAAAATGTCAAATGCTTAAAACTTCCCGCAAGGCCAAAGCTTCATAGGCCAGTCCCATACAATATTATTAAATGTCCGCCAAACACATTTCCGCTTGAAGGTCTCCCATCTTCTGTTGAGTAAGAGAACATCAGAGAAGCTCCTCCTGGCAGATCCATAGACTTTGACTCTTCAGAGGAGGAAGGGCAAATAGCTCATTTTAAACCTCCAAATAAAGTATTATGCTTTTACACAGGAAAGAGGAAGATCTTGTACAAACCACGTGAATGGTATTAGAGAGTTTGTGGCGATGGGTCGTCTTGCAGAAGAACGCTCCATGGTGGCAAAGGGCTTCAACCACCTGGCAGGATGGGCTGCTTCCCCCCTAGACTCTTCTGAACCCGCTGGGCTAATAACTGCAGCCAGGGCAGGGGGTGGGCAGCGGAGCCAGCAGGAAGGCCAAGGAAAACTCAGTGCAAACACAGAATCATTGTTGGAAGGGACCCGAGGGGTCGTCTCCTTAGTGTCCCTCCTTAGAGGCTAAAAAAGCAGCTATAAAAACCTTTTTATAGATGTTTAGGGTCTATTAATCAATTTAACTCTCAGACTTTGATAAATGAATGGAATAAAGAACTAATGGCCCCATCCCAATTAAACAGTGGGGAAATGTCCCAGCCTTCATTTCTAATGTGTCATTAAACAATGTCTCATACAACAAAAGATTTTATTTAGATTTTATCCACTATGATAGCATAAACATGGTCTAATGATGGCAACATGCTGTTGCAATTAGGAGAATGCCTTGTTGAAACATATGTTTAGACAGTGTTTGGCATTAGCAATTTTTTTATTAGTTTTTTTTTTGGGGGGGGAGAGAATACTATGACGTATAAATCTATTGTGCGGAAACCCAGCCAGTTGGGTGGGTATAAATAAATAAATAAATAAATAAATAAATAAATAAATAAATAAAGTGGTACCTCTGGTTGTGAGTGGGATCCGTTCCAGAGGCCTGTTTGCAACATGAGCAGAATGCAACCTGCAGCAGCACATCTGTGCACGTGCAGGTTGCGATTCTGTGCTTCTGCGCATGCGCATGACGTCATTTTGCTCGTCTGCACATGCGCAAGCAGCGAAACCCGGAAGTAACCCTTTCTGGTACTTATGGGTTGCTGTGGGATGCAACCTGAAAAAACATATCATGAAGCAAACATAACACGAGGTATGGCTGTATAATTATTATATAGCATCATCTGAAACTATGTACCTAATCCATGGAGCATGACAAATGGTCAACATAAATGGATTCTCTGGG